TGTGATGACACTGGGACCACCAGAGAATCCAGGATCACCTCCCGATCTCCCATGTCTGCCTTGCAAGGGATCCTATTCACAGATTGGGACAGGGGTGGGGATTAGGATGCAGATGTTACTGGAATTATTCTACCAGCCACACTTATACTCACCAAGTATGAGACTCTTCAGTATTGTGTTGGACATGGAAACAGGTAGTTTATTGTTTTTTAAAAAGTTACCCAATTCCTTAGAGCTCAAAAGGAACTGACAATCTAAACCACTTAAGGAAAGTGGAGTGATCTTCTCTACGTTTAAGTAAGGATTCACCTGTACTTCCTGTCAGGGTGTAGGGACTCAGATGGCTCTCTTACCTCCACTACAACCAGAGAGGCCCATTCAGGAGACTCCTCTCTACTCAAGTGGCTACAGTGCTGTCTGAGTGGATCCTGGAGGCAAGTTTGACTACACTGCAGAGACTGCTGGGTGTTGGGCATGAGCTCTGTCCTCCATATGATCAGCTGGCTAGGGGCACCTACATTCAAATTACATCTGGCTCCTTGTTTTACCTGTATGAAGTATAGAGGTAGAATGTGTATGCCTGTGTTAATAATCTCTGTTAACTGCATAGCAGAATTCTTCTAAAAGTTGGTTAATTGAATTTTAAAATATTTCAGATTTACACTGAAAAAGGGAAAAAAATTATCAAGCCAAACAAATCCAGAACTATACTTCCATTCAGTCACATATTTGTATGGAGCACACCATGTGCTGGGCAAATAAAGATGAATAAGAAAGATGAAGTCTCAGCCCTTCATGTGATTGGCGGTGGTCATCAGAACCATGGAGTACATCAGAATGCTGGGGTTGCCTGCTAGTCGAACTTCAGGGAAGGCCTCTCTAAGTCAACACAATTACTCTGAGCTCTGAAAGATCAAAAGGCAACCATGTGAAGAGTCAGGCAGAACATTCTAGACAGTCCTAGACCATTCTAAGGAATAGATGCAAAGATTCTGAGGCAGAAAAGAGATGAGGATGTTGAAAGAATAATTAAAAAGTCAGTTTGGTGGAGGACGGTGGGCAACAGGGGAAGAGGACGAAACAACAGGACCAATCAAACAGAGCCTGATCGTTTCAGGTTTATTTGAAGATAAATAAGAAATCATTAAAGTTTCAAGCAGAGGAATGAGATGGAGAGACTGACATTTGTCTAAGACCTTTCTGGCTGCTGTATGGAGATGAGCTTGGACACGAGCAAGGGTGGAGGTAGGAAGACCCCATAGGTGGCCAGCACAGTCCCCCAGGCAAGATAGCCGATAGTGCCCATGGAGACAACCCAACGGGGACATAGCCAGCATCCTAGTCTGAAGGTGGAATGGACAGGGAGTGCTCCTGGATTACATGTAGTGGGTAGGACAGCTGAAGACTTCAGAATGAGTTTTAAGTCTTGGCTTATTAACATGGCAGATGGTAGTGTCATTTATGAAGAAGAAGAAGATTGGGGGAAAACAGATTTGTGGGAGAAAGTTAACACTTCTGGATGTTTATTATTAAGAAGCCTGTTAGACACAGAGGTTGAAACGTCAAATAGATTGCTGAATAGACAGACTTTAGCACAGGAGGACACCAAATGCAAAACTAACATTGTTACAGGACAGAGTTCCACCTTCCCTGGGCATCACTCTGTGTCCACAGGAGATCTTTTGTTTGTTTGTTTGTTTGTGATGGAGGTTCACTCTTGTTGCCTGGGCTGGAGTGCAATGGAGAAGTCTCAACTCACTGCAACCTCTGCCTCCAGGGTTCAAGTGATTCTCCTGCCTCAGCCTCCCAAGTAGCTAGGATTACAGGCACCAGCTACCACGCCCAGCTATTTTTTGTTTGTTTGTTTTTGTTTTTTTGTATTTTTAGTAGAGACCAGCTTTCACCATGCCGGCCAGGCTGGTCTCAAACTCCTAACCTCAGGTGATCCTCCTGCTTCGGCCTCCCAAAGTACTGGGATTACAAGCGTGAGTCACTGTTTCTGGCCCATAGGAGTTTCTAACAAACTTACCCCACTTCTGGGGATGACTCAGGTTTGCTACTTGATGAAGGAGACACTCCTGAGTATTACAAATCTGTTGGACCCTTAGGACTCAGAGCCTTCAGTATGAAGTCACTAGAACTACTGAATATCCAAAACTCTCTTTGGGTACTTGTATATATTTAGCATGTGACTGGAACAAAGTTTCTAGCACAAGAAGGCACACAAAGGTTTATTGAATGAATGGTTTCCTTTAATTGCTTATTTTTTATTGGAGTGAGAATGAGATTAGCAAGTATAAGTCCAACTTTCCATCAAACGGAAAAGTGACTGGGCATAGTGGCTCATGCCTGTAATCCCAGTGACTCTGGAGGCTGAGGCAGGAGGATTGCTTGAGCCCAGGAGTTTCAGGCTGCGGTGAGCTATGATCACACCACTGCACTCAGGCCTGGGTGACTGAGAGAGACGTTGTTTCAAAAAAGACAAGTAACTCACAAATCTGCAGGACCGGCCAGTGCTTCTGAGACCTTAATGCAGAATCACTGGGGATCTTGTTGAAATGCAGATTCTGACTCAGTCAGTCCTGGGTCGTGCTTGAGATTCTGCAGATCTAACAGGCTCCCAAGTGTTGCTGCAGTCACTGGCTCTCAAATCACACTCAAGTAGCAAGGGCATATGACTTACCCCACCGTTCTTCCATTTGATCAGGCAATCTTTAGTGAAACAAACAACATTCAGTGGGCAAGGCTTCCACAACCAAATATGACCTCAGACCGCTGTTGCCTGTGGACTTCTACAGCAACTGTTTCTGAGGCTATCATTTGACATTCAACATTTATTGCCTTATATTTTTAATTGTCATCCCATGCCTATATGTCTTATTTTCCAAACAAAACTAAAAGTGTCTAGAGATCAAGGACAAAGCTCTGTGATCTTTTGTGTACCTACCTCCAAGGCTCCATTCTCATACCTTGTACAAGGCGACTTCCCAAGGAATATTTGTTGACTGACTACTGAGGAATTCCTCTGGTAGGGACTGTGGATCCATGAGCATTAGTTAGACTCATGCAGAAATAGAAATATGACTTTTGCCATAAAACCTAAAATTTAAATCTGATAGATTTTAGTTACCCCTACATGCAATAAAGAGATAAAAAGTGTATGTCTATGTGAATAATTAGCATCAGCTGTAAAACAGGAGTCTTCTAAATGTTGGGTAATTGAAAAAAAGAAAGTATTTCAGAGCACTTGGACCTCTAATTCCTTCTCAGTTACAAAAGTATTACATAAAGCTGTACATTCATATTAAAAACACATTAAATAATAATCATGAATATAATCTAAAATAATAAAGTAACTGTAAGTAGGTGCTTGGTGTGAATTATCTGTAACATTTTTGTGATTATTCCTTAATTTATTGCTCCATAATATGGAAGCTTTTCTGCCTTTCAGTATGCATGGCAGCCTAATCTTATATTTCCTTCCCCTGAACTCACTCACAGCTGAACAGTTTGCTCGTATACCATGGCAATGAAAAGAACATTGAGTTATGTGAGAAAACAACCTCAGTGTGGCTGCCACTTGGAAGCTAGTGCAGAATTACATACTGCAATTAAGATGAAGACCATTTTTGGGGTGACCGGCATCTATCCAGGACCCAGCACTCTCCTTCTGTGCTTGCTGGGAAGGAGTTCCTAGCACAGAAGTCACGATGGTCACCTCTGGTCTTGGTCCAGCTGCGTGTATCAGAGGGGCTACTCCTAACGGTAGCTGAGTCCCAGTAACAGCAGAGGGGAAGCAACCACACCTGACTTTTCTCCTACTTTTTAGGCATGTCACTTACCCAGTCACTCTTTAACAGCATTTTGAAAGGATCTCTTCTGGGTTAACTGCTGTGCTAGGCTCTACATGAGATACAGGGATGGGATCTCCCTCTCTAGGAGCTCAGAGTTTACCAAAATGAGCTCTGAGAAGGCTGGGATCTCACCTGGCTTGGTCACACTGTATTCCCAAATCCCAGAAGGTGCTTGGCTTACAATAGGTGTTCAAAAGAATTTATCAAATGAATAAATGAATAAGACAATGGATGAATAAATCTAGTGGGTAGCTCAGATATATTCACGGTCAGCTTCTGCTTATTCTGCTTAATAGAGTGCTTATGCAAAATAATACCAAACCTACAATTTGTGGAGCCCTCACTAAGCTGCATGCCACATACTGTTCTATGGACTTTGCACATCATCTATTTTCATCCTTACAACTACCTCTGAGTAGTTGTGATTTTTACACCATTGCACATGTGAGCGGATGGTGTGAAGAGATGGCAAGCATTGTGCCCAAGCTCTCACGGTTAGCGATAAAGTGACAACTCAGATTTAGGTCTGCTGATGCTTGAGGTCCTAACCAACACTCTATTGCTCTCTCTCGGGACTTTATTAATAACCAGAGATTCCAAGTTGAGGGTCCCAGTTTCAGAAGGAAAAGCAGTGGGTAATTTTTAGCCATGGGACATGATAACAAAAGCAATCTTTATCCTGTTGTTAGATCATTCTGCTTTCCCCAGGGCTTCCCACAATCCGAGCCCAAAGAAGATGCAGAGAAGAGGCCCTGAGCTGGCTCATCCGCTGGTCAGAAGATTCCAGATGACAGAGCTTTCCTCAGAAAAGTCCAGTTTTCATTAGTAGGCAGAAGACAGGTGGTACTTCTTCAAGACAAGCTACAACAGAATACCTTGTTTTGAGCACTTTTTAATATTGAGAATCTCCTAATGACAGCAGAATTAAAGAGTGGGGACAGAAATAGTCAAGGCTTTTAAAAAAGTAACCTTTTTTTTTTCAGTGCACTAATTTCTATATAATACTGTAACAGACATTTCTATATCATATGACAAAGGAAGCTGTCATATACACCACGAATATTTGATATAAATCACAGACTTATAAATTCTAAAGATTATAGTCAGATTACTTACCCAGCATTTACTTGGGGCATGATTGCAGAGCTAGCTGCAGATGCAATGGGGCAGGTCTGTCTGCAGAGCAGGAGTTGGGGACATTGCAGAGTCAGAGAATCCCCAGAGTCCCCAGCATCTGGGATGGGAACAGCTTAGAATGAGAGGTGGGACAACACCCAAAACAAATGTTACTTCCCTTACAACTGTGCCCACTAGAGTTTTGGGAATCTCCTTTCTCTACACTGAGGCACTGCCTCATGTTTTTAGACTCCGCAGCTTAGCTCCCTGGAGGGGAAGAATGTAGGTTGAGGGGTGGTGCTTCTCTCTCGGCATTGTGTGATAATCCAGGACAGTTGGGCCCATGGAATTGTATTAAATCAGTGGAAGGAGGGTTTACTACACATAGCTTAGCAAATGGTTTACGTGCTTCTCAAGATCATCCCCAGATCAGCAGCATCAGATAGGCCAGGGGTCTGCAATTTTTTTCTTTAAAGGTCTAGAGAATGAATACTTTAGGCTTTGTGAGCCAAAAAACAAAACTGAGCATCTTATCTGGGTATTTATTATATAACAAGGGAGACAAACGAAATTCCAATAAGTTTTCATTGATGAAATTCAAACTATAGTACTGGGTACAATTTTTGTGTAATGCAAGTCTGCTAATGAAAAGAATGTAATTGTGAGAGGGGACAGAATTTTGCTTAATTGGGGTTCAAAGTTAGTGTTGCCTATCATGGAATAATTTGCAAAGGTTCATCTGTAAAAACTATTATTAACTTGCAGACCTTACAAAAACAGGTGAAAACATGGATTTGGCCCTAGGGCTAGACCTGGGAACTGGTTAGAAATGCAAATTATAAGGCCCACTCCAGATCTACTGAATTAGAAAGTCTGGGGGTGGGTCTGGTAACTTGTATCTTAACAAGCCCTCCAGGGTATGCCGATGCACGCTACCATTTGAAAACTACTGGTTTAAAATAAATGTGTAAGGGCCAGAGTTAGCCTTGCCCACCCTGTTATTACCATGGTAACGTGCATTTCTCAATCACGGTCTTCAGCCCGATCTTCCCATTACCATTATTTCAATGAGTTTGGGTGTATATTTACATTTTTAAAAATAACCTTTCGGGTCTTAGGCAACTCAAGAAACATGGCACGCCCACGCCCACTCTGCGATTTCTAAACAGAGAAGCAGGAACTCCTCTGGGAAGTGGCTCACAGCCAGGAAGGAGAGAGCACTTCTCAACAATGGTGGGAGGATAAGCTCTCAGGCAAGTCTTCAGTAGGTATCCCTAGAGATCCATAATAGAAGTTGTGACTTCTCACCTTTACAATTGCTACCTCAGCACTACCTCTGGCCAGTGAAAAATAAACGGAGTTGTAACGTAGAGGCTGTTTCTGGATTGAATTGGTGGGCTCGGTGCTATCACCATTTCAAATGATTTATAAATAGTATTTTTGTAACAAATTCAGAGGGAAAAACTATAGAGACTGTCCCCTGGGCTAATTCCCTTACCGCTCTGACTCATGTTTTTCTCTCTAAACCTCTGCCTCAATTTCTCCATGTGTATGATGGAAACAATTAATAAAACCTCATTGACAGGTTTGTCTTGAGAATAAAATTAGGTTTGGGAAGGTCTCAGCAGTTGATGAATTTTGAGAATTATTCTTATATAAGATTGTCCTAACAAACTGACAAGCTGATGTTGACGTTGACAAAAAGCGTGTAGAGAACCTATTATCCATGCAGTATCCCTCCTGTGACTAAACACACCACTTCCTTCTCCATCTGGCATCTTTCAGGCATACAGAAATTTTTTTTGCCAAAAAATTCAAATGGCTATTTTGACCCATTGGACAGGAAGCTTGTGTAAACATTTCAAATAGGTTCCCCACCAGCCTGACCCCACCGCTACTCACTCTGAAATTCAGATCCCTTGAGTCACTTGGGGGTTAGAAAACAAAAAGAGAAGGCAGAATGCCATTGTCTGTGGGAGAGCTTGGCAAGTCTTCTAGGAGCAGCTTCCAGAAGATTCTTCTTAATATCATTAATTGATCCAATTACCTAGATGACACCAGACCCAAGTGGATGAGAGGTGGAATTTTTACTATTCTTGTTTTAGAATTATGGGGTAAAACCTGGAAGGCTGCAGACCTTAGAGGAGAGCTCTATATTCTCCTACTTTAAAATGTTGCCTAAGACAAGCAACAAACTCAAGGTACTTTGCCCTCTGAGAGAGCTCAGAATCCTTGTCCTCAGGAATCATGCAATCAATGCAAAGGTAAGACAAACCCCCAAGTAGGCAGTGTCTAAGTGAGGGTTGATGGAGGTGCTTTTAACAAGAGATGGAAACTGAGGAGGTGGAGAAGAATTTGGAAAATATATCCTGAGGCAAAAATTCAGCTCTGCATCTACTTAAAAAATAAAACTAGCTAGAGTACAACTTCTTTTAACTGGCACTGAAACTGAAGAAAACAGGAAGGAGAAATAATAATGATTTGAAGAAAACTAAGCTATGAAAAGAACTCCATAGAACAGGACTATAAAATACTTTTTTTAAAAAAAAAGATATACTGGAATTATGGATGAATCCATAATTGTTTCGAAAACTTTTGTTTTAGTAGGTGACACTGTTAATTATTATTTTTGAATCCCCTCTTCATGCTAAGCTTGGTAATGAGGTTATATTCGTGGTGTATATTTGTTATCTTCGATTCTTTTATCATGAAACTGAGATGAAGCAAGGACCCCTGCTTTCAAAGGAAAATCTTGAGTTCCTTCAAGGGAAAGTCCAGGCACCTAGATATTCCTGAGAAGTAAATGAGCAACTTGATAAGCAAGAAGGTAACAGTAGCTTAAAATGATAGCCAAGGAAGCTAGAATCATGAGATATTGGTTCCCTGCAGAAAGTAAAGATAAGGTCGTAATGTATGTCCCTGAGTTGTTTTTCAGAAATGCAGACTCCCACCAAATGGACCCACTGGCACAGAGACCTCAGATGAGGGGGTGCTAAGGACTGAACTCTGACTGCCATGCATTGTTTGAAGTTTCTTTCTGAGGGGCGTGGAGGAAGTCACAACCACGAGCCAGATCTCATATTCTTTTCTGCTGATTCCAAGTCTTTACGACAAAGCTTCCCTTCTTTAACCAATTGCAAATCAGAAAATCTTTGAATCTGTGTATGACCTGTAAGCCCCCACTTCAAGATATTCTGCCTTTTTAGGCCAAACCAATGTATAACCTCCATATATTTATTTATGATTTTGCCTATAACTTCTGTTTTCCTGAAATTTATCCCTTCTGTTAAAAAGCCTCACCTGCAAGCCACTGGGGAGTTTGAGTCTTCAGTGTGAGCTGCTGTATTATCCTTGCTTGGCACTCTGCAAATAAAACACCCTCTTTTATCCCACTGCATAAACTCAGTGTGCATGTTTGGCCTTACTGCACTGGGCAAGCAGGCCCTCGTTCGGCTGGGTAACAAAAGTCAAGAATTTTAAAAGAGAAAGTACCTCAGTCTATTCCCAGAAATAATTCAGGTGGCTTTTAGATGGCAACTTATTCACGCCTGTATTAGTCCGTTCTTACACTATTATAAAGAACTACCTGAGACTGGTTTATTTATACAGAAAAGAGATTTAATGGACTCACAGCTCCGCAGGCTTGACAGGAAGCGTGACTGGGAGGCCTTAGGAAACTTACAATCATGGCAGAAAGCGAAGCGAAAGCAGGCACCTTCTTCAGATGGCAGCAGGAGAGAGGGAGAAAGAGTGAACAGGGAAGGGCCACACAACTTTTAAGCCATAAGATCTTTGAGAACTCAGTCACTATCATGAGAACAGCAAGAGGGAAATCCGCCCCCATGGGGACACAAATCCAAACCATATCAAGGCCTGATTGTATCAGGAGCTAACTGGTTCTGAGAATCTTCTAATCTCGAGCCTCTGGTAAGCAATGAACATTGACCACTGACGACAAATAATGCTTTTGTTCTAATTTGTTTCCTAACTTGCAAGCAAGTAGTGATAAGAGGGAATGGACAAAAATGGAGTTTTCAAAAGTAAGTTTTAGCCACGGGGTAAGTAAGCCTTGCTTCCTCTCCAGTTTCAGAATCCTTAAATGACTTTGGCTAAACTGCAAAGTTTCATGTGGCTCCATTTCTTTATTTGTAAACGGCTTTGGTATTTTATATTTTGCAGTTATATATTTATTATCTTGTAGTTAGCTTAAGAGTTCTCACTGTTCTTAGTAACATTTTCTTTTTTATTATAATTATAAAACATATCTATGGTCTCTTTAATAATGTTTGACAATAAAAGAAAGATACACAAAGAAAAGAAATTTAAAAAATATTACCCATGGGCAGGGCACGGTGGCTCATGCCTGTAATCCCAGCACTTTGGGAGGCTGAGATGGGCGGATCATGAGGTCAGGAGATAGAGACCATCCTGGCTAACATGGTGAAACCCTGTCTCTACTAAAAATACAAATATTAGTGGGGCATGGTGGCCCGCGCCTGTAGTCCCAGCTACCCAGGAGGCTGAGGCAGGAGAATGGCATGAATGCGGAAGGCAGAGCTTGCAGTGAGCTGAGATCACGCCACTGCACTCCAGCCTGGGAGATGGAGCAAGACTCTGTCTCAAAAGAAAAAATAAATAAATAAATAAAAATAAAAATATTATCCATGAGCTCCCATCACCCAAGAAATATGTGCCATGCAATTTTTAAATGGGTTTCTTTACTGTCTCTTTGATTCTGAGCTCCAGCAAATAGAAAACTGAAGTTCTGAGAAGCCAGAGCTCGTCTGAGGCAACACTGTGAATGTGGAATTTCGCTTCTATTTTGTTTCAGTTAAGGAATGCATTTGGATGCAAGTTACCAACAAAAAAACCTACCAATAATGACTTAATCAAAGAAGGGAGGGTTGCTTCTCACATAATAAGGAATTGGAAATCGGTAGGGCAGGATTGAGACACTGGCTCAGGGATGCACCAGAAACTCAGGTTCTTTTCTATGCTGTATTATTCTAAGCAAGCTGGAATTTATTCCCAGGCTAGAAGGTATCCTTTTATTTAAATTTAAATAAATAAAAGCTTTCTCACAAGCCATCCCTTGCAGACTTCTGCTTCCAACATGCA